ATTCTGAATTATTCTAAATGTTTTTATCTACGGGTAAATAAATTAGAACTACATTTATCGAGTGAAATGATTGCAAGTTTTAATTACGTGCAAGTTTTAAAAGACGTTGATGACAATGGAAAAATAAAATAAATACTGATCTGTTGATTTTATTTTCTGGAATCAGTTGTCTATAGCAAAACATACCTTAAATGTGTTAAATGACCATAAAAATATATGGAAGGTTAGGATCATAACTTTTTTATTTAAAAATTAAATAGCTAACTGACTTGTGACTGACAATCTTCGTAATTTGAAAATAATTAACAATCTATGCTTCCCCAGAATGCCTCCCTTCAGTGTCAGCTTTTCGAGTCTTTTGATCGTTGAAAAGATGTTTTCCTACACATTCCAACGTAAAAATTGATTCCCTCTAGTTGTTTGATTTGAAGAATTTTCAATTTACCGTTGCTAAGGAAGCTTTTACACATAAATTTTAGCTTTTCTGGACTTGATTAGATTTTTAGACGAGCTTTTCTATACATGTATAACGTAAAAATTTGATCCTCTTTTGTGGACTCCTCTACCCCATAAGGTCATGATTTTAACTATTTATAATCTTAAATACATCAAGAAGTTTTCACATTTATTGCAGTTTGTTTCATGTGGTTCTTGAAGAAGATTTTTAAAGTTTTTCTAAAATTTTAATATAAAATGTTGATCCCCTTTGTGGTTTCATCCTACTCTGGGTGAGGAGGAGGGGGCATGATTTGAACAATTTAGAATTAAACTACTTCAGGAAGTTTCCACATTAGTTTCAAATTTACCAAAAACAAGTTTTCTCTCTTTGTTTTCCCAAATAATTAATGTTTTATGAAAATCCATGAAAAATTTCCAAATCAAAAGTCATTCAAATAGTTATGCTATCTTTTGAAAATTGAGTTGAAAGTAGGGGAAGAACAATATTATCTTTATCTCTTTTTGTCAGATATACCCTAATTGAAAGAGATTTTCCCATTTGAATCTCTGATCCAGAATCAAATTGCACTCATATCTTTTTATGTTTTTCAACGTTGGTTTTATTTAATTAATTTTCCATTCATATTTGTTTACAGAGATGACTGAGAAGGTTATTCAAGAGAAAATCACTAACATTCAGAAGAACCTGACGATCAATCGAAAAGAAACGAGTCAGTACATCCGCACTTTGACAAGTGCCCCCGATGAGAGACGCTCTTCAAAGAATATCGGAATCGCAGGTGCTTTTGTCATTGGCGCCATAGGGAGCGTTTTTATCATCAATGACTGTATCAATTTCGTCAAAGGGATTCGAAATAACCATGAACGTACCAGTCATAAATGACATTTTTAAAAGAAAGAACATGTAGTGATGTTCAGTTTTATCGTGTGGTTATGAAGTGCGATCTACAGATTTGTATGAGGAAAGCAATTTTTTTAATATATATATAAGGTAAATTGATCACAATTGTTAATTTTCTGCAAATGAAACCTGTGAGTACACATGGCATTGTACCTATTAGAATTTAGTTGACTTTACCATTTTTCTATTTCTGAAAGAAAAATACACCAATATTCATGATGTTCTGAAACGGCCTTTATATTGACACTTCAAAATATATCGTTCCCCTTTAATGTGCCTTTAGTTTTGATATTTAAAAAAATCAGATTTGTCTAGGGTATGGATAGAAAAATCATATAGATCGACAAAATCAAACAATTTTAGACATGGAATCATACATTATGTCAGGCTTCGCCACGTTAATATCATTTAAATGTCTTAACTCAATTCAGCTCATTTATGTACATATAAACAGCAATTAAGAGATTCTGGTAAACAAATGAATATCCTCCATTACTGTCTAAACAAACTCCAATGTGATGCATGTATTTTTTCGTCAAAATCTGGCTTTTGATATATTGTTTGGAGTCCTTAACTTGAATGTTTGATTTTAATTTTTTAAAACAATAATTCAAAGTAGATTTTGTCGGATAACTTTAATATTGTAAAATGCAGTCAGAATTTAGAGCCCGAATACATTTTTTAAATTTCTATGTAATATTTTATGTAATTTTTCTTGCAGAAAGACAGATCAAGCATAAAAGAATTAAAATAAATGTGCATGTAGTCAAATGATTTCGTGAAACGAATGAATGTTCTGAAAATTCAGAAATTAAATTTATATTTTTCCTTTAGAATTAAAATACATTAATCATTCGACATCATTGTTTTCACCAAAGTTGACAAGTGCTTTTTATCTATGGTCGATACAACGACTTTGTCAGCAAATACAATTCACAATTAAGTGAAATGTTGACTGAAGTTTGTCACTGCTAATTGTTTGTCCATTATTTATACATCGGATTGACGACGGATTTTTTTCCGTTATTTCCTGATCATGACAAGGAGCACATGGCGTGTGTGCCCGGTCAGCAGGGGATGCTCACTCCTTAATGGCACCTGATCCCACCTCTGATGTTTCGGAGGTCAATATCTGCTCTGCTCGTATTTTTGTTTTGTTTTATGGACTTTGATATTGAATGCTGTTTGTTATCTCCATATCCTTCCTTTATTAAATTAAAGTAAAAAATAGTTGTTTTTTTTTTTACATACCGTCTTTCTCCCCTACCGTTCACGGTAGCTCAGTCGGTCGAGCGCCCCGTGATCGAGAGGTCATAAGTTGGTATCTCGGCCGATACAGACCTAATTGGATTAAAAAATAGGTAGCAACTGTTCCTTCGCCATGCGCTCAGCACTTGAAGTGAAAGTTCTTCGGATGAGACTTTAAAAACCGAGGTGTTGTGTCACTGCAGGCGTTGGCATGATAAAGACCCCTCACTCCTCAAGGCCCTGAGGGCCGAGTTAAGGTCAATTTTTGAAACCCTTCACCGTTATATGGTGACGTCTCTACATGAGTGAAAAAATCCCGAATGAGACGTTAAACAACATACAATCAATCAGTTTTTCTCCCCCTTTCCGATTTGACTAATTATCCTAACATCACAAGGTGTTAAAAGACCGGGTTTGATCGGTCAATATGGCATTATTCCTCCCAAAATGACACCTACTCTCACTTCTGATGCTTCATTTTTGGCTCTGCTCTACTTTTGTATTACATGTATTTCAATGAATTTTTTATCTTGAATACTGGCCGTTATTTCAATATTTCCTTTACACCTGCATAGTGCAGTGGTTAGATTGTTTCTTTAGAGTTGCAAAGTATGGAATTGATCCGTATGTCGCAGGTTTGAGTCAACTTGCAGGATGTCAGACCTTCGATTCGAAGAAAACCATATAAACCGCACAGTAATGAAGCTCAAATATGCATTGCAATAATACTATTCAAAAACAGAGCAAACGCGGACTTCAGAGGTGGAATAAGTTGCCATGATGGAGCAAGAATCACCCTGTCAACCGGTCACACTCGCTCCTTGGTACGATCGGACAAACAGACAGACAAGTTAATGCAGAAAATTTGTATAAAAACGTCAATCAACATACGAGTTATTTATTGAATGTATTTGCTGATAAAATCATTGTATCAACCAAATAATTTGTAAAATGTTGACCTTTTACAAGGCTGTTGATATCCTCATACAATATTTCATCAAATGTCCTTGCTTCAAAGATTTTTCATACGTAGAATATGCTCTTGTGTAAGTTCATAGTAGCTCAGTCCTTACAGCACTCGCTTTGTGAGATCGTGAGTTCGATTCTCAGTCACGACTGACCTAAATGTGAAGCAACTGTTCCTTAACCATGCGCTCGGCACTTGCTATGAAAGTTGTTGGTCCTTCGGATGAGAGGTTAAAAACCGAGGCCCCGTGTCATGGCAGCCGTTGGCAAGATAAAGATCCCTCACTGCTCAATGCTCTAGCTGAGTGGCGAGTAAAGCTCAAAAAGCCCTTCACTGGTATTTAGTTACGTCTCTATGAGTGAAATATTCTCGTGTGGAACGTAAAACAACATGCAATTAATCAATCAATCTATCAATAACATTAACGTGGTGACATTATAGAAGGTAATTGTGTCCAAACTTATAAATCGTATGTCTCATTGTCTACATATGTTAGTAGGTATAATTCTGATGTCCTAGTAACTATGTAATTCCGAAAATGCAACTGTGTAGAAATATAATTTTGTACTATTATTGTGTGTATTTTCGATTTTATTGGTGTAAAAAAAAACCGTTATCTAAATTACCGAGCTTTAAATAAAATACAAAGTCAATTAATAAGTCTACAACAGTAAAGTTTATTTGGTATTAATTGACTTCGTGTTATATTCAAAGTGAGACAAAATAGAATCGGAAAAAAACAAAGTTTACAATATTAAAAGTACCCCCATTCGTATAGTATAAAGTCAAAGTCAACACAGTTGTATACCGGTATTCAAAACTACGTGCTTTGATGTCGGAATTACCCACTAACATATGAAGTCGATTGCAGGTTTGGATTAAAAATCTTACCAGTTTTGATTTCTTAACACGATCACCCTCCATAAGACATAATCTCAATAATTATGCAAACAGGCACTTGGGAATTGGATCCCCCTTTCCATTTTGTTTTTAAATCTGGGGGGTAGACACACTTTTCTTCTATTTTTGTAGTCTAATATGCACTACTTGGTATCGATTATGTAATCCGTTTGTCTTTATAAGCCGTTTTTAAATATATCATTTTTGACTGATACATAAAAGGCTTTTTATCAGTCGAAAACGATATTTTAAGAAAACGGCTTAAAAGGACAACAGGGTTGCATTATTGATATCTAATATTTTGTTAAAATTTGGAAAACATTTCATCTGTTCTCGTTAGTCCTTAACGCCAAGGGCGGTAGTCATCTTTGATCATTATTTTATCATGTCTGATCACTCAAACTAACCTATTAATGTGTCTATAAAACAGACTTTGTTTGCTGCAAATATCACATATGTCAGTGAACATTTCCTTCTAACCAAGTTTTAGAACAACTTTAATGAAGCTACCAACTTCTCCCTTGTTTACTGATGGAATTCACTGTCACTACAAAGTTTCTTAGCCAAGGAATTCAGTCTCTGTTCTGCTTGTTTTCTGTTGTTTGGCATTATCACATTTTCTGATTTGAATGGTAGACCAATGACATAATGTCCATTTTCAAAGCGAACTGAATTTGTCACAAAGTCGAGAAATCTCCTGTCTTCCCTTGACGGCTCTGGAACATCATCGATAGCTCTTTCACTAAAGTCATGATTGAATTGGTATCTCACTTGCTCCTCTAATCTTGCGTCGATGCGGTTGGCTGTGACGTATGTACTGTAAGTACCATTCTCGGGTCTTGTATCTAGCGGTCCATTGATTACCCATCCTAACAGAGTCTTAACAGCGAATGGACCTTTGTGTACACTAGTAATCACATTCCATGGCTCCATTGCTTTTGGTACGTTGACACCAATCAACAAACCAACATCGCTATCTATGGTGTCAATATGTACATCACGCAGATGCGGCCATCTATGTAGGTCCTCGGATGTAACAATGTCTTTCTTAGATATGGGCAGATCCGGTTGAGTGTATATAGGAGGTAAGTCAATTGTGTGATCACCATTTAAATCACTCACTTCAAGACCAGATAGAATGCTACAGTTCTCTGTCCTCTGCTGTCCCATGGTTGTTAAGTTAAGCACAGTCTTTTTGCCTTCAAGGTGAAGTGATCTTGCGATTTCCTCTGTACAAAATGTCGCTGTACTCCCAGAATCCAAGAAAGCATAAGTTGTAATAAATTTGTCACTGTTTCTCGATTTCAGACGTACTGGTATGACAGGAAGCGCTTGCCTCACTGAGTCCCCAGCCCCCATATGCGCTGTTGAAGAAACGGCTGCAGATGAGCTGTTGTTGTTTTGATCGGTAGTTACTGGGTTTTCCTTGCCTTGTCGAGGATTCACGTGAAGTATAGATGGGTGACACTTCTTACAGTGAACGCAGTATAACTTGTGTTGACAGGCTCCCTTAAGATGTCCTGATCTCAAACACGAGAAACACAGTCCCTTAGACTTGAACACTTCATATCTGTCCTTTAGGGGTAGCTTCATAATGTTCCGGCACTCTTCCAATGAATGTGATGTGCCTTGACAATAAGCACATGGTTTCACAAATCCAGATGATTTTGGTCTATGTTGTTCATATGCATAATTGTTTGTAGATAGATGAGATTCCACGGTCTTAGTTGCAAAGTTCCCTTTCTGTTTTGAGTACGTGGCTGGTTTAACATTCTGTCCGTGGGTTGAAGACGTTGAGATACTCATCACTTCTCTTCCATAAATAGGGTCGTTGGCCTTTTTAGCTTCCTTACGAACAAACTTCACTAAGTTCTCAAACTTCACAACTTCTCTTCTGTCTTTGAGCTCGTACACAACATTTCGCCACTTTTCTTGTAAATAGAAAGGAAGTTTCTTTATAATAAGTTTCATGTTCTCTGGATACTCTAAGGCTCTAGCGCTGGCTACGTTGTTGACAGCATGCTGACACTCTGTAAGGAATATTGCATAGGTATCAAGTCCCCTTGCGTATATCATTTTTTGATGAGAATGATGACAGCAGCCACGGTAGCCGTCAGAACCAATAGGATGTTACTTAGAGAATTGAACATTCCTGTCCATCGCATTACATACTGGACCGACAGCATGGCCGTTCTACGTTATATTCAGAATAGTACGGCGAGATTTCATACTTTTGTGGCAAACAGATTAGCAGTTATCCACGAAGGGTCACAACCAACTGACTGGAGATACATTAACACAAGGTTGAATCCAGCGGATCATGCATCTAGAGGTATCTCTGCAGATGGCTTATTGAAACAGGAGAACTGGATCAAACCCTCTAATTTCTTGTTTGAACCTGAGGATCATTGGCCAACACCAGCTTCACACCTCACTGACACAGAACTGTTTGACAACGACCCAGAGGTGAAAAAGGTTACTGTAAAGACAGTTGTCACAAAATCACAGGAATTACAAGAGAACACAGCAGATATTAATGAGCTGTTTCAACATCATTCGTCTTGGTATTTATTAAAACGTAGTGTGGCATGGATTTTGAAGGTGCGTAAAGAACTGTTAAGACGTGTTCGTGTGAGACTGTTCGAGATGTGCTTACTAGAGACTTTGAATATATGAATATTTGTCTTTATCATGTATTGAATTTGCTAGGTATCATGTTTCATGTGCATATATCATTTTTTGATGAGAATTTAGTGCAGTGTAACCTGTTTAACTTGCATTGTATTTTTATACAATTTTTGGGTTAATGGATATAATATATGTATCTATTTTTGTAATTGTGTCACATTTGTTCCACAATTAGGGGGCTGGATTGTTACGGCCATTTCGGTTACTAGACTTTTTAGGGTCATTTAAGTGTGATGTGACGTCATCGTTTTTGGGGCACAGTAATTTTTGGTGTAGAGCCCGTGTTATCATGGCAGAACGCGGCAGGGCTTGATGCCGCATTTGTTACCAGTTTGCCATTTGCTAGTTTACTATGTTTTCCAGTCTTTGTACTGATATTTATTTCACCGGAGGAAACTTCTAATTGGTGAGTTTTTCTATGTAAATCATTTAGCTGTATACACTGTATATTTGTCATCTCGGTAAAGTTAGCATTTTTATGAACCTGGCTATCAAGTTATTGTTGAAAGTACTTGTGCACTATGTTGGAGTGATAATTATAATGCTATTAGTAAGTTAGGTACATTATTGACATACATATTGTAATTTCGCTGGATATGTGCACATTTATTACGTACGGGAGATAAATCTTTTTACTGCCATGTTTTTCTATCATGATTTGTGTCAAGAAGAGTTATGCCTCTTTGTTTACATTTTGACGACAGTGTTTGTGTATTGAAGTATTTTCTAGAACATGTAATACATCATGATTATTTGCTAGGATGTGTTATTATGTGTAACTTGCTTGAAATATCTTGTATTTATAGTATTTTTTCTTTGTATTTTTTGTAGTAAATCGTCGTCATTTCCAAGTTATTTCCACGTCAGATTTTCCACGTCATATTTTCCAAGTCATTTCTACGTCTACATCTATGTCAACGTCATTTCAACGTCATTCACGTCATTTCCATGTCAACTTCAAGTCATATTTCCACGTCATTGTCATCGTCATATCTCATCATCCTCATAAATAAAATCATTGGACGCATTTACATGTTGTTTCCTGAATTTCCTGTCCCGAGTCAGTACAAAATATTTACAATTAGAAAGCCTTTATGGACAAAATTATTAGCGAAGGCTATGCACGAAAGGTACCTTTAGAAGACTTGAATCAAGATGATGGACGCGTTTGGTATTTGCCGCATCATGGTGTACTACATCCCAAGAGGAAAAAACTTCGAGTTGTGTTCGACTGTGCAGCGAGGTTCCAAGGGACTTCACTGAATGAACAATTATTACAGGGCCCTAACTTGACAAACACGCTCATCGGGACTTTGATGCGATTTAGAGAGGAGGAAATCGCTGTGATGGGAGATATCGACAGCATGTTCTACCAAGTACGTGTTCCGCCACAAGATGCTACTTTTCTACGATTTCTCTGGTGGAAAGATGGAAATCCTTCCAATAGTTTACTAGAGTACCAGATGATCGTGCATTTGTTTGGAGCCACATCTTCGCCTAGTTGCGCCAACTTTTGTTTACGAAAAACAGCTCAAGATTGGACAGGACATTTTAGTGATGAGACAATAAAGACAGTTCTTCAGAATTTCTACGTTGATGATTGTCTGAAGTCAGTGAATTCTGTAAGAAATGCTGTGACATTGGTGAAAGAGTTACAGGGACTCTTGGAAAGTGGGGGATTTCATATATCGAAGTGGATCAGCAACAGTCGTGAGGTCATGTATTCGATACCAAAATCCGATAGAGCTAAAGAGGTCAAGGACTTAGATCTTGACTATGATACACTACCAATAGAGCGAGCCCTCGGCATCCAGTGGTGTGTGAATTCTGACATCTTCCAGTTTAAACTAGACTTCAACAGGAAACCACTTACGAGGCGGGGAATTCTGTCAATGGTGAGCGGTGTGTTTGACCCACTGGGATTCTTATCTCCACTACTACTCAAGGCCAAGATCATTCTGCAGGAATTGTGCAAACTTCAGCTTGGATGGGACGACAAGATTCCAGATGACACTGCTATTCAGTGGAATAATTGGTACCAAGATCTCGAGAAATTGAGGGACTTCAAAGTGAACAGATGTCTGAAACCTTATGGTTTTCATCCACTCATGGTACAGTTACATCATTTTGCTGATGCAAGCGAAACTGGATATGGTACAGTGTCATACTTGTGCATGGAGAACGCTTCTGGTGAACATCACTGTTCCTTTATTATGGGAAAATCTCGCGTTGCTCCACTTAAGACAACATCTATTCCACGATTGGAGTTGACAGCAGCCACGGTAGCCGTCAGAACCAATAGGATGTTACTTAGAGAATTGAACATTCCTGTCCATCGCATTACATACTGGACCGACAGCATGGCCGTTCTACGTTATATTCAGAATAGTACGGCGAGATTTCATACTTTTGTGGCAAACAGATTAGCAGTTATCCACGAAGGGTCACAACCAACTGACTGGAGATACATTAACACAAGGTTGAATCCAGCGGATCATGCATCTAGAGGTATCTCTGCAGATGGCTTATTGAAACAGGAGAACTGGATCAAACCCTCTAATTTCTTGTTTGAACCTGAGGATCATTGGCCAACACCAGCTTCACACCTCACTGACACAGAACTGTTTGACAACGACCCAGAGGTGAAAAAGGTTACTGTAAAGACAGTTGTCACAAAATCACAGGAATTACAAGAGAACACAGCAGATATTAATGAGCTGTTTCAACATCATTCGTCTTGGTATTTATTAAAACGTAGTGTGGCATGGATTTTGAAGGTGCGTAAAGAACTGTTAAGACGTGTTCGTGTGAGACTGTTCGAGATGTGCTTACTAGAGACTTTGAATATATGAATATTTGTCTTTATCATGTATTGAATTTGCTAGGTATCATGTTTCATGTGCATATATCATTTTTTGATGAGAATTTAGTGCAGTGTAACCTGTTTAACTTGCATTGTATTTTTATACAATTTTTGGGTTAATGGATATAATATATGTATCTATTTTTGTAATTGTGTCACATTTGTTCCACAATTAGGGGGCTGGATTGTTACGGCCATTTCGGTTACTAGACTTTTTAGGGTCATTTAAGTGTGATGTGACGTCATCGTTTTTGGGGCACAGTAATTTTTGGTGTAGAGCCCGTGTTATCATGGCAGAACGCGGCAGGGCTTGATGCCGCATTTGTTACCAGTTTGCCATTTGCTAGTTTACTATGTTTTCCAGTCTTTGTACTGATATTTATTTCACCGGAGGAAACTTCTAATTGGTGAGTTTTTCTATGTAAATCATTTAGCTGTATACACTGTATATTTGTCATCTCGGTAAAGTTAGCATTTTTATGAACCTGGCTATCAAGTTATTGTTGAAAGTACTTGTGCACTATGTTGGAGTGATAATTATAATGCTATTAGTAAGTTAGGTACATTATTGACATACATATTGTAATTTCGCTGGATATGTGCACATTTATTACGTACGGGAGATAAATGTGCACATATCCAGCGAAATTACAATATTGCAATTCTTTACTGTTCAATTTTACTGCAATGTCTCGGATAGCCCTTGTTTTCCAGCTTATCACAACGAAACTACTTGAAGAAACGTGATCCCACGTTCCACTCGAGCGGCACATGCTCCTCCGCCATTCTCTTGGAGGCTTGAATGTCTTCCTCCCAGGCCTGGATACATGTACCAGTAACAAGCCGCTCTGTCTCAGGATCTGCCCTGGCTTCAGCGTGGCGGACAGCGGTTAGATTTCTCCCCCCCCCCCCTCTGTCTTTCTATTGCCTACCCCGTGGGGATCCGGGTTAGAATAGGTCTTCAGTAACCCCTTGCTTGTCGTAAAAGGCGACTAAATGGGGCGGTCCTTCGGATGAGACCGTATAAACCGAGGCCCCGTGTCACAGCAGGTGTGGCACGATAAAGATCCCTCCCTGCTCAATGGCCCTGAGTGCCGAGCATAGGCCCAAATTTGCAGCCCTTCACCAGCAATGGTGACGTCTCAATATCAGTGAAATATTCTGGAGAGGGACGTTAAACAGTATACAATCAATCAATCAATCTATTGCCTGGCTCCCTTGGTCCGATTGATTGCCTTGGTGGACTTGGCGGTGACTTGGGACTTTCTGGCTCTAATGGGTGGCATGATTTTTTGATTTTTGCTGAACCGTTCTCGGAGGTTTTAAGTACTTTAAAACAATTATCACAAGTGCAGAAACGCTGGGAAAGCTATCGAGCAAGAGGAGGAAAACGCCACGTGCGCCCCTCTTTTATACTCTGTGTTTTTCGGAAATCAATTGCATGCGTTTAATTAGCGATCGCTTTAAACGACCTTATTTATTTCAAAGTCGCTCGATTAACTAAAAATACAAGAATGTAAAATCTACCACAGATATAGAGGTACAAAAAATGAAATTTTAAGTTTAACTTATTTGATTTTAATTGGATCATTAGTTTACCTACATCATATGGCATAGTACATAATCATATTATACTTTTTAAGTTTTAAAAATACAGAATTCAAAAACACATACCATTCGCCATTTTCATTCTGCAGATTACAAGCCCAAGACAGAGCAACCCTTTAATGGACATCTTTCTGGATGTGCAATATTGATAGAATTTCATTTGAATTCGTTTTCTTTATGTGCGGGGTACATCGCTTTTATTTTATATCGTGCTTATGACACGTGAACATAGGCAATATCTAAAATTATCAACGGATTTTTGAAATTTTCTGGATAATTATTCTTAGCATTCGGTGTTTCCAGTCAATATTTGAAGGTGATACAATCATTTTTAAGCGGATCGTATTTCAATGAAAATTTAAATGACACAATTTTCCAGATGCTATTTATGGGCCTCTTTTTATATTTATTATATTTAGATTTAACAAAAAGACCGTCTTGCTTCGCAAATTGCTGCCGATTAAATATATTAGAGAAGAAACAATTTAAACACAGTAGAGTTATTTCTACAAAATGTCAAGAGAATAAACATAATATCAAGTAGTAAAATTGAATACTACCGATTAAATAATAAATCGATTTTTTTTTTTTGAAAATTCGATACACAAAATGTTTTGTAAGTATTTTATTTAACTAATTATTCGTTTATACACCTATTTAATTTCCAGTGTTTGAAATCAATCTTTAAACCTGAGAGTTTACATTATTTTAAATTACCAATCAGAGAATCAATCTGTTGCAATCTAATGTGATGCTGTTGATAAAGTCAACCTGTTTCGTTACTTTATGTTTTCTAATTTTCTAATGCTTATAGGGAGGGTCACCGAAGCCTGTTTTTGCTAATTTTGTACAAGACAATTAAAACCTTCAAATTTTAAACACTCATACAGCTTAACAATCCCCAATTTTAAAATTATGATAGAAATGTGAACAATTAAACATACAAAAAGAAGTCAAAATGTCTTTAATTTTCGTTTTTTTTTTCTCTCCATTCGTTCTATTTTAAGAAAAACAGATCTGAAAAGAATTTCCCTTATCTTACGAGTACAAACATTTCCAAAACAGTTCAGCGGCAAAAATTTGAGGAAAATCTTGAACAATTGTTTTTCTAACTTATTTGAATCTATAGATTATTATTTCTTTTTAACGGAAAAAATTTCAAATGTGTAATTGTTTGAAACATTGGTAAGAGAGGCATGTATTTTTTATTTGAATATTTTCAGCTTCTCCTCTGCAACCGCTCAACCAATTTCAACCAATTTTGGCACAAAGCATTTTTGGGTGAAGGGGAACAAAAATTGTGAATTTCAAGGCCCCTGCTCCCTGAGGCCTGAGGGTGCCAAAACCACTAAAATTAATGCAATCTTTAAAAATCTTCTTCTATACTCCTGGACATCAAGCAGTCAAACTGTTTGCATGATTGTAATCAGCATTGAGTCCTCTACCAAAATTATGAAATTCATGACCCCAGGATCAGGGGTTATAGTGTAAGGGCGGGGCGAAATAGATTATATAGTGAAAATGCATTATTTCTTTGGAAATCTTCTTCTCTGCTCCTGGGCATTAAATAAACTAACCAAGTGCATAGTTATGTTGAATACGACTGTCTCATCCAAAAATTTGAATTTCATGGCCCCTGGGTAAGGGATTCTGGTGTTAGGGCGGAGCTCTATTGGTTATATAGTGAAAATACATTAATTCTTTGAAAATCTTCTTCTCTGCTCCTGGGTATTAAACAAACAAAATAAGTACATAATTATAATAAGCAAGATTGCCTCTTCAAAAAAATTGTGATTTTCATGGACCCTGGGTAAGTGGTTCTGGTGTTAGAGCGGGGCTCTATTGGTTACATAGTGAAAATGCATGAATTCTTTGAAAATCTTCTTCTCTACTCCTGGGTATTAAACCAAGAAAAAACATCTTTTTCTTTTCCTTTGCTCCTGGGAAATATGCCAATGATCTACATACATATTTATGATGAAGAAATGTGCCTCTTCCAAAATAGTTCACTTCAGGGCCTTGAGGATTAAGGGCACTGCGGGGGGGGAGGGTACATAGGTTGAAAAATAAAGTAATGCTTTGAATTCTTATGATAAAACTTATGAGAAAATTTCCACAATTTTGAAATATGTGACCCCAGTTTCAGGGGCTCCTGTGGGTTGGGGTGCAGAACTGGTTATAAAGTGGAAATGCATTTTTTCTTCGTTACTCTGATCTACCTCTTGGTATTAAGTAAACATGCTAAGTGTATAGTTATGATAAATAATGGTGCCTCTTTCAAAATTGTGAATATCGTGGCTTTTGGTTTAAAATACGAACCAAATTCAGTTGTTGGAAAGTTGTTACATGATGCTAAGGTGAACTATAAGGCCCGTGGGCCTCTTGTTCATTATAATCTTTCATGCAACGCCTTTCTATTTTGTGCGGTGGGTAAACGAAAAAAAAAAGACAGAACAAATCTATTTACTTATTTCAAAAATCACAAATCTCCCGTTTTCTATAAAAACATAAAAAATATGAATATTACAAAAAGTGAACAAACTAAAAAAGAATCCTGTAAACGATGCCTATAACACGGAACCAAGGAAATTCCAGAGGTGGGATCAGGTGCCTAGGAGGAGTTGTCTCCCCCTGCTGACCGTTCACACCCGCCTTGAGCACTACGTATTAATCAGATAGTTAAAAACATCCCTTAGTCAAAATAATTTCCTTACAAAATAGGTATTATACTAAAGACAGGTCTACATGTGTACTAGTATATCCGTCAAACCCTAACGGAGGCTCGGTCGGTTGAGCGCTCTCTGCGCGTTCGAAGATCATGCGTTCGTACTGGACTGCGACTAAGTCGATAAAATAAAAAAGGCAATAAAATTAACTGTTTTTTGCCATGCGTTCTGCCCCTGCACCTTGCAGGTTCTTCAGTTTAGACCTTTAAAACTAAGGTCCCATGTAAAGGTAGACGATGGCATAATAAAGGTCCCTCTCGGCTCAATGGTCGTAAGTGTCGCGTAAAGGCCAAACTTGGAAGCCCTTCACTAGTATATGGTGACGTCTTTATATAAATGTATTATTATACCCCCCGCTTGAAAAGTGGGGGTATATAGTAATCGGTATTTCCGTCCGTCCGTCCGTCCGTCCGTCCGTCCGTCTGTACGTCCGTCCGTCTGTTACGCTTTGGGGTACCCATCTCTTATCCGCAACTCCTCTCATACCACTGAATGAAATTTGATGAAACTTCTACAGAATCTTTATTACATATTGCCATTGTGCACCTCCTATTTTACTTTTTGATCCGACAGATATTTTGGGTTTCCCGACCACAGGAAAAGATGGACTATTTCACCAGTTATAACCATATGGGAGGCGGGTGGTGTCATTTAGTGAGCTCATCGCTCACAGTACCTCTAGTTTTTGAATGGGACGTAAAACAATATACAATCAATCTGTCAAATTTTCACCAATTTTAGATGACCGTGAATGTATCCAACACTTCTAAGTTTACATTTAAATCTTCCTAGTATACTCTGACCAAAAGTCCATACATGTATGTCTGTTCAAAGATAATAAATTAAAAAGTTTGCACAATTTGACCTTTTCTCTAAATACTTGGTAAAATTTTGTTTCTATTGGAATAAATGTCATGTTAACCGAGTCGTTTCAGAGAAACAACATTTCTAAGAGACTGCAGTCATGTCTGAAATTTTTGTACAAGAAATGATGGGAAAGAACGACAACCTGAATGAAGAACGGACAAAAACGTAATATCTTTAGGCAGCCGCGATACAAAAATTACACACCTACTCTCTGTAGACAATCGGTATGTGCTCTTTTTTTGAAAATTAGTAAAATAGTAAATATCTTATAATTTTAAATTAATGCAATCATTATTATTGTACATTATAGGTATTCATTGATGTAGCCTTCGCTGATCATGCTGATATATCAATAAATTTATTTGCTGTACTATATCAATACACAGAGTATTATCTCAACTTAAACATGTGACAGATAATCAACGAAACTGAATGATGTTAGTATGTGAGTGGATAAGATATACCGTATCGCTTTATTAATTGAAGTATCTATTAACAGCCATGAACATCCTGTTGATATTTGTCACTTTATTCAAACTTATATATTACATATCCGCACAGAAGACTTGTAAGAAAGTCAATTCTTGTAAATGTAAACTGGACGATGGGAAAGTCATAGACTTGGATCCACTGGCGAAATCAAACGGACCCGCGTGAGTTATGATAGCCATTCATATTTGTAAACTAAAGTTTCAAAATACATGGTCTTTTTTAAAAGAACAAAAGTAGGATTAGTTTTAGCACTCTCAAGTCCTAGTTGTGATAATGCTATGATTTGTTTTAAACCGTTTAAAAATCAGTGGCCGCTTTCACAAAAAACGACTAAGACTAACCCCCCAAACTCTTAGTCTACAACAAATATCTTAAATAACAGAATGTTATTTTTCTATTACTTTATATTAATATTTTATAGTTAAATTCTTTATGTTATTTTATTTCAAAAATATCACTATATAACAAATTACAGAGTGGTGAAATTTTAGTCTTAGTCGTAAGATTTTTTTTTATGAGAAAGGCAACAGATACTTAACATTTAATTATCCTACAAATATTAAATATTAAAATTCAATACACAGAAGTAATGTACAAGGCGCATTTTCTACATCTACATCAAGTTATTACATCTCAATGTCTGTACGACTTGCAATTCTTCGCAAACATAAATCATGCACTTTCCGCGAATATGATGAAGTTCAAGTTCGGTGAGTATACTGTTTTAACAGGTACATGTATTCAATGTGTCATAACGTTTGAATATATTCCGTTTTCAGATTTCTTGATGTTCTGGACAGCGGAGGAGTAGACTATTTTTCTTGGAATCCCTGTAAATCATTTTCTGAAGGAGCGTGTAGTAATGCAGCGGTACTATGAATTTAGTGTAATATAATTAATCATTAAGATTTCCTATAAAAAACACTCCTTGAGTTATACATGTATGTACGTCTTTGAAAATAGCTCCAATTGTACTTTTAACTGGATCACCTGTATATATGTTTTTTTACCATCACAATCTGAAATCTAGAACAAATATTTTGGTCCGCTTTATTTGTTAGCCAAAACATTATACATGTAACCTGTCAGACGATTAACCAAATGATGAATAATGACCTTGACAGTGTTAAGTGATTTTGAACAGTGTTATGTTATTGAGATAGGAAATATTACAGAACGTAACCTGTATTTACCTTTGAATTTTTTGTAGGTATGTCAGACCCATGCAGGCACTCAGTATAACTGTGGTACCCAAGACAGTGCGGTTTTTGGTTACGATGACGCAAACAGTGTTTATACTATTACGTATAGTGCAGACAGCTTTACCAAAAGTAATGACGTCAGGTGATAAAAAATGATAGTCGTAATGGCGTAAAAAAATGATTAAATCTGCTTGCAATAATACATTAGTGATAAAATTCATTTTATGTCATATACGACTGTAACACTATGAGGAACAAATGTATTAATTACCCGTATCCCTGTTTCAGAACGACGACCCTCTACTTATACTGTGACCAGGGCCCAGATGTGTTTCAGCCAATAGGAGAAGCTGTTCAGGGAACCTATGTAAGTATAATCACTTACTATAGAAACAAGATAGTTTTAGAGAAACTCTATACGTAATTAATTTTCACTTATCCATTGAGAGAATCTTATATGGGATCCAAACTTACCTAACTTGCAAATAATTCATTATGAAAGACAAAGTGAAATTCTGTACATGAAATGTAATCAATGTAAATACAAAAATAATTATATGTTCATAAAATGCTGATCCAAACAATCAAATTCAATGTCAGATTGTTAAATTTACTCTTACGCAACATAACGTAATTTCAATATATCTGTCTAATGGACATTCTTTACGCCTTTTTAGTTTTGCGTAACATAATGCACGAAAATGTGCTAAAGAGTTAATTTGATTAATTTATTTGAAATGTGCATTTTAAAAACAAGCCTTTAAGTTAGCATACTTTTCATAACATATGGAGGAGATAGCTTTATTAGCAATTTGTAGCATACACAATACATATCATGGATATATATTCAAAAATGAAATCGTTGAAAAAAAATCATTTAAGCTTTCTTGACCATAAAATCTTTGATGTGCATGAGTTAAATTTGATATCAAACTGATCTCAGACTAATGGTTAGAGAGGGCTGCGATATTGGGTTCAGGTGAATGTAAAAGGAAAAAAATATGTAATCTTTTACTAATTAATTTTGAAAATGAGTTGAAGCTTAGGTATACTTGGTTGATAACTTTTCATTGCGATTTTGATTCCCTAGACTAATATGGATTTTCAGCAAATGATCAAGATTTCATATTTAAAAAATTACTGTGATGTAGTTTAAGGTCCTTGCCACAGAAACATCGTTGGGAATACAAAAAAGGATCAAAACTGTATATGAAAATCCAAAGATAACTTTGTGAAGCTTCTCTTCTCAATCAAGCCAAAATGACTTAGATAGGTGTTTTGCAACATTTTAGTGATTTTGATCTTTTTGGCTATGATTATGGATTTTTTTTCACTTCACTGATATTGCTAACTGAGCTACTTTTATTTCCTCTCTGAAATTCTATTTTTATATGCGGCATTTCAACTTCTGTAGATTACTTGATTTTCAGGCATTGATTTTCAAAGGTAAATACGCATGCCCAAGGGATGGTGGAGGAATGTCGGCTGGAACTATAATAATCATCATGTAAGTAGTACAAAGACAACAGGAATTAAATGGACAAGAAATGTGCAAACATTGTTAATTATATTCAAATTGTGATCTTTATTTCAGTTTTAAAATCTCTTAAAGGACTGATATACGTTCAAGATTTTATAATTTCCTTTACATGTGTGGAAATATTCCCTATCGCAAGCATATGGGGTTTATGTATACCAGTTAATTTGATACGCATGAGAACGATCTCCGTGAGAATAATTTCTAAAACTAGACAAGCTATTGACAAACAATTTGATGAAACAAGGATATCAACCGTCTAGATCGAAGTCATCATTTTTACAATTCTATGTTCGGCACAATGGCCTTGATTAAGTCAAAGTTTGATGGACGCTTTTCATACCAATTGGTAGACCATTATTTACGAATGAATTGTCTACAGATTTTTCCGTTCGCACAATCATGACAAGGATCACACGCCGAGTGTGAGCGGTCGACAGCAGATACATACAATGTACTCCTCCGCGCCAGCATCTCTGATATTCTGAAGGTCCCGTGTTTGTACTACTACATGTACCGAGTTTTATTATTTCAATGGAATTTTGAGTTAGCGTTGAATAGTGTTCATTAACTCCATATTTCATTGTATCTTTAGATGTATAAACTATTTTATTCTGAGATTACATCTGTGAAAGGGAAAATAATTCATTAAATTACTCTCACGTTATAATTTGTTATTACAAAAAATATCTCAAAAATTTTTGACGGGACATTACAGAAACTTTATGATAAACGTTTTTATAAAGATACGTTCTTTTTCAGATTTTTCAGCCTGCTAGCTGTATATTTGATTGGCGGAGTTTTATTTCAAATCCTTATCAAGAAAAATAGTGGCAAGAATGCAATACCTAATTCCAGTTTCTGGATCGGACTTCCGGGCCTAATTAAGGTATTTCTACAAAATTTCTTTTCTGTAAGACTTAGCTTAAAAACATTATTTTTGTAAGGTCGATTATAGTTGTACAATACTGGATAAATAAATAATTTAAAACTGCTTAGACACAGATTTGATGTTAATATTTCCTCAATATTTCTGTATGATTTCATGTTGCTTTAGCATTTCATATGAAAATATAATAAAAATCTTATCTTTTTTGGAAGTTTTTGAAACTTCGAATTTCTAGACGCGTTAAATTGACACATCCATACACTTTCGTTAATTTTATATTCATCCTTATTACTTAAGAAAAATAGCAATTTTGTTACGTTTTAATTAAAAAAGATATTAAAGTTATAATCTTTTAAAGCTGGCGACTCATAAAAGGAATATGTCCGCCAAATTATCTATTAATTATCAATCTATGATTCTTTCAACTGAAAAAAGATTTATGAGTCACAAATGATGTGGCTCCTTTCTTCCTTTTTTTCTTCTCATGATTGAGTTTATTATCAAGTTAAATTGTAAAAAACACAATTACCGGTACTTAACGATTACTTAAAATCACATATTCTTTCATTTACAATTGCTGATATACAAAAGATATATTTATAGATTTCTTAATGATCATGAACAGAAACATTTTCCTAATTAAATATTTTTTTATGAATAAAATCTCAGATGTTAAATATGTCTGATAATCTAGTACATACCCTTCCCAATCTTGTGTTTTATATTCACGACTTCTATTATTTTTTTTTATTATAGGATGGTGTATTTTTCATTGTAAGAAGAGGAGGAAAAAAAGGAACCTACAACAATATATGAAGCCTTGGAAAATAAACAGCTGCTAGAGAAAAAAAATCCTAGGTTTGCGTCCAGAGATGTTTGATAAGAATGATTCTTCATATGTTTCATTGAGAACAATTAACTTATTTTCAACTTAATTAGGATTTCACTGTACATGTACGTGTGTATGAAATTTTTTTTTTAAAAATCCGTCCCTCGACGATTTGTGCAGGATTCATTGTGATTCTTTCAATGTGTGTGTTTTTATTCTTTTGTCTTTTGTCTGATTATTCTAAGAGTGCAATTAATATTGCAGGAGAATACAAAAATTAGTTTACTATACTCTTTTAAAAATAATTAATGTGCATCTTAATTAATATGCAGGTAACTTTTTTTAAAAACATTTTAAAAATAATGTTTCTTGGATTGCAAAAAACATACATGTATATAACTGCATTACATTTATGAAATCATGTAGAAAAAATTCATTATCTCTTATTCCTTTTAATGTATCCAATTTGCATGGGCAATATCGAAATAAATAAAAATCTTCTTATGAAATAACTACTTGATATTCAATGACATGCAATGAATATAATTATGCTGAAACAGTATGTTTTTAGAAATATTTTTTATACAAGTTTTAATATAATCATGGTATGATCTTATCTGTAAATCAACATAATAATCACTATCACTTGCAACAGATTTGCACTAACAGATGTGCACTGATACAAGCATATGATTGTTTTAAAGCATGTCCTGATAATCAAATGACACATGACAAATAGATATATTTACGTTCAGATGCATGTTTATTACAGAGATTTTTAGAATAGGAAGCTACCCTTAAATAACGACAAATCCGTCATCCCTTATCTACCTTTTATGATAACGATGGTTATTATTTATTTTTACGACGTATCACAAGTAGATATAGAAATCCATCCGATGTTGCTTGTGTTAAAGATAACCCGTCCATTTCGTGAAATATCTAAGCAGATAACCCGTCCATTTCGTGAAATATATAAGCAGCCATGAAATATTTAATGGTGATATTAATTTTGTTAAAATTATCAAGGATAATAACAGGTCAGGGTACATGTAAAAAAGTGAATTCTTGTAAATGTAAATTAGACGATGGAAAAGTAATAGACCTGGACCCAGTGGCAAAATCAGGCGGACCTGCGTAAGTCTTATCGTTTTTATATATGTAAATGCACTTTCAGATAATAGTATATAAGCACATCAGTACATGAAACTTACCTTGCTACTAGTATATAATTATTTCATTGCAATATGTCGAAATGTTCTTAAACAATCTACATGTATCATAAAACATATCTAATTAAAAAAAAAAGTACATAAGACCCTGTGTGTACTTTTTGTCGATCAGTTATACATTGAGAGGAGTTTCTTTTAATTTCATTTTTTTATTAAGGGACAGGATCATTTAAAGCATACGTGCATTACTACCAACAAGGAAGTATGAACAACACACAGACAATTGACGTTTTTTTATTCTTTCTTTTCATAAATAAAAAAAAACTTCATACTTTAATGATACCGTAAATCTGGAAATTTTTGTTGTAGATAAATTTTTAGCAAATTTGCGAGTTCATTGCATTTGCAAAAATATTTTTCTTTAAAAAAATCACCAATAAGAAAATGTAAACAGTGGTCATTCGCAAAATTTTGAAACATAAAAATTAATCAACAGCTCTTTGACCCGAATTCGCTAAATAAAATCGACTTAAAAATTTCCAGATTTACGGCACTATAAAAGAAAGTGTACTAATGAAAAACAGAATAACAATGCCAAGTACCTGTGGAACAGATTTATGAAACTTAATTTTTATCGATTAATTCAAAGACTGTTTTCATAAACTCAGGATTCATTGACGAAGTACGCCGATTTACATTATTCCAAATTTGAATAACACATTATGTTGTAAATATATTGCAAACAGGAATATAAGCATTCTCGTGTAAAGTCACATCGTAAGTCCTATGGCCGATACAATGACCTTGTCAGCAAATACAATTTATCAATGATCAAATGCTGACTGACGTTTTTCGTACTTATTGTTTGGCCAATATTATTTGCACACTGAATTGACCACGGATGTTTTCGTTATTTTCCCATCATGACAACGGAGCACACAGTGGGTGTGACCAATCGGCAGGGGCGTGCTCACTCCTTAATGGCACCCACGATGATCCATGATCCCATCTCTTATGTTTAGGAGATCTATGTTTACTCTGCTCCTATTTTGTATTGTTTAGTGGACTTCTGCGCTTGATTACTGTTCATGTCAATATATTTCATGTTCATTTGTTTATTTTACATGTATCTACTGAATTTTCACTAAATTGATATTTTTTACCGCAAAAGGGGTGTATCAGTTGGATAATTAAAAATATCGTATGTGGAGGTAAAGCCTCATTTATGCGCGAACTGAATAACTTGTGAACTTACTGTAAAGTCGTCTCGGTAAGATATGCTGCACCTTTATTATGATCGTTGAAGTAAGACATGTAAGAGGCGAATAACATTTCTTTTTCACAATGAAAATTATGAAAAACAGAATATTCTTTGCAAATACCGGTATGTGTTTTCTATGGACTTCCTTTTCAAATACAATAACTCTTTTTTAACTTTAATATTTATTACATTTTGGAAAAGCAGATCATGTGCCGATGTGGTTAGAGTGCGGTTGTTTATTGGTTTAGCCACTTCCCTTTCAATAAGCCGCCCCCCCACTTTCAATTTGCTTCCGACGCCTATGCCATGCATATAAACCTAGGTCAAATGTCGCAGTAGGTGCTGGATCGATTGCTAAATGCCAACGAGTGCCGAAAATAAGTCTAAACACTGGCAAGTGGTGACGTCTCAATATGAGTGAAAAACTCTCAAAAAGGACCCTACATAAAAAAAAAGAATTTTAGAGATTGAGATTCTGTTATATCAATATGTATAATGTCCACCTTATAAATCACTGTGTATATGATATACTTACAGATGCCCGGAAACTTGTTTAATTTTTGATCGATAATATAAACTTTTTGATGTAAGTATAAAGCAGTCAGCAAGATTCCAGTTCTTCTTGAGCAAGCAAGTCTGTTTTCGAAAGCAAAACCGAGGAAAAAACTCGGCTTTGCTCTCGAAAACAAACTTGCTTTTGGGGACCTGAAAAGTAGAATTGTATCTGAAGATTTAAGGAATGTTTTTGGGTTTTTTTTTCAGATATCTTGATGTTACTGACGTTGCACAGGTTGATCAATACTCGTGGAATCCATGCAAACCATTCTCAGAAGGAGCATGCACCAATGCAGCGGTATCAATAAACAGAGGTTTTCCGTACAAACAGTCAGATACATAGACAGACAGAGGGACGGACAGGGCAAAAACTATCAACTCCCGAATCTTCACTTACGGGGGCATAATAATATAATTATATTGATTTTTAAAGATTCAATTCTACGTTTTTGACATACAAGTACATGCATAGGTAATGCAAGAATAAAGTACTTCAAGTTTTGTTTAATAAGCATTATCTGACTTTTTACAACATTATGCAAACAGACACAGACAGACAAACATGTCAAAACTTATATACCCCGCACCTTATGGGACATAACCTTTTAGAAAAATATGGAAAGGATTTTTTTCTCCAAGTCCAATGAGAAAATTAGAAGTTTCCACTTTTATAAAACTATGGCATGATATGAGCTTTCCTTAAAAATTCGTTTGTATCGTGAAACATATAAAGAGAACGAACAGTATTTAAATCGAAAGTCCATAAAACAATACAAAATAGGAGCAGAACAAACACGGTCCCCCAAAATATCAGAGATGGGATCAAGTACCATGGAGAAAAGAGCATTCCCTGCCGACCGGTCACACCCGCCGTGTGGTTTTTGTCATGATCTGGAAATAACGGAATACCCGTATTCAATTCAGTGTATAAATAATGGACTTACAGTTCGCATGAAAAATGTCAGTCAGCATTTGACTCAATCATAAATTGTATTTGCTGACAAGGTCATTGTATCGACAATAGGACGTACGAAATGATGACTTTAAACGAGACTGCTGATTGTCTTGTCTCATCAACTTGGTTGTTAGTAATTTATCTCGTTTAAGAAATTGTTCATACGTAGAACATGATTTTGCGTATCGAATCAACTGAGATATATATTAACTCCGTATGCAGGTAATGAAGCTTTTAAGGTATATTGCTGCGTAAGTCAGGGAAGTTGACGATTGAAAAGTTAAAGCCATCAAGGGAACTACATTCTCACAACAATAAATATCTTTAAAAACACACACACACATCCATGTAATTTTTAGGGTTTCTAATCAGAGCATCAAATACCATACAAAAAGAATGTAATGTTACACAATGATAATTCATGTTGTAGGTATGCCAGACTCACGGAGGTATACAGTATAACTGTGGTACACAGGACAGCGCTGTGTTCGGATACGATACTGGTAATGATCTCTACACAATAACGTATAGTGCAGATACCGTGTCCAAAAGCAACGACCTTAGGTAGGATCACGTGGTCTTATTTTCTTTACAAAAAATAGAAAAATATTAATCGTAGCCAATCAATTATTGAATAACTATTTGCAATGTTTCCAAAAAATACCAAACATTAGATTGAGGAATACAAATGTTTAAGATCTGTAAGAATTGGGGTTTTTCTATCGTCTAATTATATGTACAGATCTTAATAACATAACAATAAAAGTCATTTTATATAAAGTTTAAATTATAAAGATTGGTCTACTTAACAAACTTTTTTTTCATTTATATGTCATTTACGCTTATTCTAATTTTCATAATATTCTTTTTTTAATTCTTAATTTTTTTGGATTTTTATTTTATCTTTTTTTTGTTGCTTACAAAGGTACATGTACTTGATAGCCGTACCGTCTATATGAAATGTTTGTTTTTAATAGCACTGTGCTATATACCTACTTCACCGTCTTTTTTAATTTCAAGAACAACAACGTTATATCTAAAATGTGATCAAGGTCCGGATGTTTTCACACCTGCAGGGGAGACAGGCTCGGCAACCTATGTGAGTATAACAAAAATATATTGCATTTGTCACGCTAGAAAAAGGAGTTGACATTGTCATACGGTGCTTCAAAGGAACCTAGATACAATAAAATCTGAATATTTATAAAATCCATGAAATAATAAAGAAGAAACGAGTAATACTTTGGGTTTACATGTTTTATCTTTAGACAGGTATTTAAATAATAGCAATCTTTTCAAGTATAGCATACCATATACACAAAAATATCCTTTTATTATGTAATTTTATTAGAAATTAAATGTCATATGAAGCCCTTCGACGGTATATGGCGATGCCTCTATATGAGTGAAAAACTTTCGAACATTATGTAAACAACATATAATGAATCAATCATATTCATTTTAGGTATTAACTTTTCAAAGTAAATACGCATGTCCCCGGAAGGACAGTGGTGGAATATCAGCAGGGAGCATACTAATTATAATGTAAGTATATATATCGTTTAAGTAATCTGGATATAATATTATTATAAAGAATGGGATTTGAGTACTGTTTTTTTTTTTTTTTTACCAAAAGCTAGCTTTCGAAATCTTATAATGATATACAGTCTATTATTAAATTTACAACCATTTTCCTGCAGTGTACTCCATATTTGATTTTATTTTTAGATTTTTTGGCCTGTTATTTGTTTATTTAATTGGCGGAGTGTTATTCCAAATCTTTATAAGGAAAAATAGTGGCAAGAATGCTATTCCTAATTCCAGTTTCTGGTTTGGACTTCCCGGTCTCATTAAGGTATGTAGAATCTTTTTTAACCTCAAAAATTTTATATGTTATTTTTTGTTACTACTTCTTTTCGATTATTCTGACCATAATTTTCTAGCTTTCATTCAAAAGAATTACAGTCTCAGAAGAACATCTGCACTACAAGTCTTTGAGGCACTGTTCCTTACACCTCAAATTTTCAGAAAGTAATTATCAAATCACATAAAAGACATGAACATTTGTCATATAAAATCAACTTTAAATTTTCATCTGTTTGACTGCCTTCTATGTTAATAAGGTGGGATGTTTTAAAGTCAACTTCTAAAATCTAGAATCAAGAGTGATTCATCCCACTGCAAAATTTTAACTTTCAAACCATAAATGCAGAATAATTTTCCTTTCCATAGAAGGAATTTACCATTCAAAAAAATAAACAATACTTCATTATCCTACCCTTTAGTGTAGTTTCCTTCTGCAATGTTATCCCTTTTTGGTTCTACATTTCGACAAAACCAAGAGGAGTATAGTAAATGAGCAAAGACTTTGAAAAAACACTCACCTTGAAGAAGAAAATTTAAAATTTTCAACTACATGGTATCAAGGAAGGCTCGTTTTATACGATTTGTAAAAACCTATGGAAGAATCGTATAGTCGAAACATCCTACCATTTATTCATAAGTTCCCCTTTAAAACATCCACTTTGGAGACTTCAGATAATAATTTCAAAAGACATTTATGCTTGACATTAAATATGTAATATAACGAAGGGATATGTTATTGCAGTACAGTTCAAAAAAGGTATTTTTTATTACAACAATGTGACCTTAATTTGTGCGAAAAAACATGTGAGCTTAAAAAGTTTGTTGAGCTGTATAACATCGAGAACATCGATCTGATATATTATTACATTTAAGGATATCCGATCCTCAGCCAGGAAAGATAATTCCAAAAATTAATATTTAATTTCAAATGCATCAAAATGAAGCTTGAAAATGAAATTTTTTTCATGCAATAATTTTCATTTTTTTCATCTTTATATCAAGATTCAAGGTTTTTGGAAGTCTTAGAAAAGGTCTTCTAAAAGTTTATATTTGTACCCTATAGAAGGGGGGGGGGAGAGAAATAATACAATTTTAGAGAAATAAGATTTTCTTGAATCAAGCCTTTGATACCAATGCTTATTAGCATGATATGAAATGAGAAATGATTCGTGGTGTCTAAAATGACAGCAAAAGCCTTTTACACTCTGTATTATAGAATACATGACGGAAATAGAGGACAAAAATACCAAATAAGTGTAAAATTCATGAAGTTTCTCTGAATGCCTGGACACCTATCGTTTTTCAACCTAAAATATATTTGTTGATCATTTTTCTATTAGAAAATGCATTGCTGATATTTCATTGCGCTTTTTTCTGCAAAAATATTGGAGATTTGACAACTTTCCCTATATAATGTGATTAACTTTAATCTTTTAACTTTAAAGAAATACTGTGGATAAATTTACATAACTTTGTGGATTCAGAGATACTTTTATGAGTTTTTTGATTACTCAGCTGCTTATTTTATCAACCTGAGGATCGGACTACCTTAAATGCACGGTATACTTCCCCACTTCCCATAGTGATATTTATAGTAAAATGCAGAGGTGTGACAGAAAATGTGTCTGATTTTTGACATTTGTTAAAGATGTTATGTGTTTCTTTTTTCCAATTCTTATTGGTATATCAGCAAGAGGTACATGAACATGTATATACGAGGGTTGTCCGTAAAGGTCGTGGACAAGCTAAAATTTAAATAAAAAATGGTGTCATTAATATTTATTTTTAACATATTTATAATCATTTACTAAATGTGAATTACATAATGTGAAACTATATTGAATTTCAAATATATAACAACAAATATAGCTTCATTATTACACTTCAAACCTGCAAATTTTGGTCGTTTAGAGTTTAGACATGGCCTAGAAATCGGCATTGTTTGAAAAAGGGACGTTTTCGTAAAAGGAAGAGCACAGAGCAGTAATAGAATTCTGCGTAAACATCGGAAAAACATCAACAGACACATATAAATGCTGTAAACAGTCGGGAAAATAGAGTAAAGGAAACCGTTCTTATGTATTTAAGTGGAATGTAAAATTTTCGGATGGAAGGAACAGTTTACAGGAAGATATGCATGAAGGAAGACCATCATTCCAAGATTTATATTGCTGCTCTCTCTCTCTCTCTCTCTCTCTCTCTCTCTCTCTCTCTCTCTCTCTCTCTCTCTCTCTCTCTCTCTCTGTAAAAAATTGAATTCCGTAATGTGACTTTGCCGTATTTCCTTAAATAAAGTCGTTTTACGATCATCAAATGTTTTATGATTTGCAGGATCTGAGACAGGAAGTGTTAAATATTATTTTACATATGAAATCTGAATAGTTTGTACACATTTTTGATGACTGTTTAAAGCGACATAAGAAATGTATTGAGTTAAACGGTGACTGTGTTGAGAAAATTTACATGTATTAAGCTCTTGATGTCGGGTAACTTCAAGGATTTTCGTTTTGTGCTCCGGTATGAGTGCGTGTCTTTTTTTTTCTTTTTTTTTTGTATCTTATAAAAATATAACTATTTGTGCTTTGTTTTTGTTTAAAATTTGTTAAATTGAAACATTAATTTCATGAAAATAATAGTTTCATATATTTTATCAATGTTTGTAAGAAATAATCAATGTTGTCCACGGACTTTACGGACAACCCTCGTATAATACTAGTATAAAAAAAAAATCTAGATTATCATTAACTTTCGTTAAGAAGTAGAAATCAAACTTTAGCTTGTTCTTTCTCAATACTTTCAAATAACAAACACATATAGAAGTTTTCCTTTGAACGTGTTAATGTCTGCTAAATTTTGACAAAGCTGACCTATAACAATATGTAACAGAATATATTTAATTTACAGAAGATCGATGCCAAACTTTCTTTATTTTCGTAAATAGACTGATTTATAGGAGATGACTGGGTAATATTTAATTATGTTGTTTTTTTTTTGTTGCAGGATGGTGTGTTATTTATAGTTCGACGAGGAAAGAAAAAAGGATCATATAACAGTATTTGATACTTGAAAAATAATATCTTAGAAAGTATTGCTTGTAACTGCCTTCAACATGAAAAATGGACATGATGATGGGAGAATACTAAAACCTTTACATAAAGAGAATTTTAGTTTAAAAACATACAAACAGTTTTCGCAATTAAAATAAGGGACTATGAAGTCATTTCAAAAACTAGTTGTGTACCCTATTTTATCTGTCCATCTTAATAATTTCTATGTATGCATACCAAGAATAGATGAAATATTTATTATTATTCATTTTATATGTACGTATCATCTCTTTTTTGTTTTTTTTTCCAAATGGAAAGATACACATCTTGTTTTTAATGTAACATTGTTGTGTGTGTGTTTGTTCATGCCTTGGTCGAAATAGAAAAAAAAACAATTAAGATTTTTTTTTATACGAAAATAATTTTAAAATACTAGTTTGAAAAATTCAGGCAAATTTGGACTGATAAAAAAATATAGTGTTCATCATTTCATTCCACTTGGTAAACCAATACTGTACACTAGAATAAACTTTTTTTATCGTCATATTATGATTTTGACTGACGGTGATTTCAAAATTTGAAAAACAAAATCGTGCTCGATAAAAATTCATGAATGTATTATATCCTCAGACGTTAAATTTGTATACAATATAGTCGCTGTCTATTTATATAAGTACATGTGTATTTCATAAAACATTGCTTGATTGTTCTTCTTCCATCCTTCTTCTCCTAACAATAAAAACATATAAAACTTACGAAGATGACAGTTTTAAAAAATATGTCAAAAATATCAAAGGTTTCAGTTATGATGAATGTAAATGTTACTATGCATTTTTTGGCAAAGAGAATCATTTTTTTTTTTTACATCTATCGATTTTCTAATTATCTTATCTCATTTACGATATTAAAATTTAGGGAAATATAATAAACCTGTAAATTCTAATATTAGTTTTGATAGAGCCATCTTTAGCATAATGTTTGCTTACCCTCTCCCTATTTTGGGTAAAATCATTGGGTCAATTGGTGGACGGGAAAATCTTTTTTTTTCAGAAAATTTCAATATCTTTGTTTACGGAAAAATGGGAAGGAAAAGAAAAAATATGTCCTGGTATGTAAAAAAAAAATGACTCGGGTCATTTTTATTCAGTCTGTCTGGAGAGGGCAATCAAACAACTTTTCAAGATGGCCTAGCTGATAAGGTATGAAAGTATCACGATAAATGAGTAATTAATTACAGTTGTATTTTTCTTATACATTGATTTACTCGTGGATGTGAAGCGCTCCAGATTGTTGAAGATTGAATTAATGCGCAATTAATTTTATTCCATTTTCTTCTTAATTTTCAATTATAGTATGCACGTCATTCGTGAAATTTGATGTTCTTTCATGTTTTAAATTACCGAACAGTTTGTATACATTGGTTTTATCCCTAGACAAAGCGATGAGGCCATCGTGTCTAATACGCTTGAGTTAAAAACTTTGAATAGATAATGGATATTTTTGAAAAGGAGTGCGAAAGAGACATCTTCCTTTTCTCCATAAAAATGTTGAAAGCAAAAAAAGGGCTGACAAAAAGGGAAAAAAATCCATTTATTTTTTTTTAAAATCGACAAATACTTGTCCTCTTGAAAATAGAACAAACCAAACAGAGTCTTTCATATCATTGATTTTAATGTAATCTTGTAGAGGAAACCTTTCCATGATATGTAAAGATAGAACAAAACCTGCAGGAATTATAATTATGCATATTAATTAATTGCCAGTGAAAATTCCTTAATGATAAAGTAAATCGTTTCTTATCTATGAATCCCAATTGTTAACATTAATGAAAAGAATCAATTCATAATACCCCCCCCCCCCCATAAACGAAGTGTGAATTTTGAATGAATTTTGTTTTAAAATGACTTCTTATCTGAATTCAAAATAATGAATATCGTTTTCA